GAACTCCCTTCAAGTGTTAGTGAATCTTGTTCTAGGATATTTATTTATTTGTTTTTTTTTAATTAACCGTTTGTCGTTTAGAACAAACATTTTCGTAATTCTATGCACATTATAATTTACTGTGTAAGAAATGTAAACCCTAACTTTATTATTTGCTTGCGTATTTAAATTATAAATTTATTTTTTTAAAAGTTCAAACCCCTTTACATTAATATTAAGTGATAAATTCACTAATAATGTAGTGGCAGCGCAACCTAAAGGGACCAGAAGGTGGCAGTTGTAATCTGACTGACGCTTGAAGCCGAAGTTGAAGAGGTGTTGTGTCAATCTGGTTTGACCCGTAATAGGAAACTCATATCTATGCAATGACGTCCGGTTGCAACGATGTAATGTTGCTGAGGTTTATGCGCGAGATTAAGGTGTTGTCAATTTTAGGATTAAGACAAATCTGTTTGAGAGACAGATCCTTAAGTGTACGGCGACGGAATCACACGAGTAAGACAGATCTGATCAATGTATAACTAGATCAGAATTGCGCAAAAAAAAGATGTATGGTCTGTGTGTAGTGCAGTTGGAAGAGAAATAATCATGACACAATATTCCAGATTTGTTCAGATCTGTGCAAAGAAGGGATCGGAGAAGAAAAAATTCAAAATGGGGCTGTGAAGTCATATGTCCACTCCTGAAACCAAAAGACTGGAGAGGGAGAAGCCGAGGTGGTAGCTGGTTATACAAAACTATATCTGTTGTGTTTTTCGACATTTTGTAGCCAGATTTCACGATATTCGTTCTAGATCTGAACTAGTTATTTTTTATGTTGATTTTCGGTCAAATCGCAATGCCCATGTGGTGGTCCTGACAGCAACGCATGCAGTGACACGTGTAGTTCTGGGTGGTGGCATCTCTGGTTGCAAACCAATGATTTTATGCATATTCGTGTTTCCTTATGAGTAATTTTTTGTTTTGTTTTTGAAAGTACACAATCTAGGAATTTGGGATAATATTCACAAAGTATGAAATTAAAAAGTTTGATGGTGGAATGAGTTTTAGTGTGTTGAAAATTAAAATAAAATTATTCTTAATTTTATAAGTTTTATGGAGGATATTGAAGAAAAAATTTATTGAAGGTATGAGAGAGCTGTATAAGACAGAGTTGCAAGAGAGAACATTATGTGTGATTTTAATGAGTGTGACCAATAATCTTCTACGGGAAATTACTTGAGGAATTTTTACTTTAGCTATATGGAAGAAAGTGGAAGAGTTATTTATACTCTACAAAATTGTTAACAAACCACTTTTACTTTGAAAAAAAATATTGTACAATATGAGAATAAATGAAAGACACACCAATTAAACAATATTTTAATAAATTTAGTTCTATTTTTATGGACTTAAATAACATATATATCAAGATTGATAATGAGTATTAGACATTGATTAAACAATATTTACCATCATTATCTTATGAGACTTTATTGAATAATATTAATAATGCACTAAAATCAAAAAAATTGAAAAATAAATTTTAAGATATAGAATAGAGAGAGAGTTTGACAAATACGAGAGAGCACGTAACAAAACTAGATCAATCTAGAGATAGA